TTCCGTCAAATCACAATTTTAATAAGATAATAAAATATAAAATATTTAAAATATCATTTCACGTCCTGAGGACGGTTAAATATAACCGAAACATGTCGTAAGAGACGTTCCAATTTGTAAATCGATCATTCGATGCGGAACGTGAAATGATATTTTAAATATTTTATATTTTATTATCTTATTAAAATTGTGATGTGACGGAAAATATTAAAACTCTTATCGTCTGTGCATTGCATCTAATACGTGGCACGTCTGGTGATGCGTCACATTAGCATATCCCTAAACCATTAACCCCAGAGTAAAAATCCAGCCAGCTGCAATACGGGTTAATACGTAACAACATTATTAAATGCCATATGTCAGTCCATTCATTATTTTATAAAGCAAAAATGTGTTTAAAATGTTCAGGGTCGTGTGTGAACAAGTTAGTCATCACCCACCAGTATCAGCATTCCATGCAGACTGCAAAGACTTCATATTCCATGGTTCAATCCACCCTAAACTCAAATTCTGGGGAAAGAGCGTAGAGATTCAGCCCAAAGGACAAGTGACTGTCGAACTTCCCAGGTGAGATGTGCAATGGAATATAATATTATTAATTAGAATAATATTTTAGACAGAAAACTTCTGTGACAGGATTTAGAGGTTACATTTTCGACGCAATTTTAGTATATTTTTTTTACTTTCAGCCTTTATTGAAATGCCCTTTCCTTAAAAATGTTGTTCATATTTTTATGTGTAAGTTACAAATCTGTATTTTTTGCCAATGTTTGATCTTCTGTAAAGATACATAGGTTTTTTTTCTATTTTGTTGTTATTTTATAATTTTTTACGTATAGTTTTTGTCTAAAGGCACATGTCCATTATCTTACGTCACACAGACTTTGCTTCTATTTCTGAGATGGCGGAGCGGTGATGTCTTACTATGGCTATAACATGTGGGAACTGTCTGTCCGCCCATCTAATAACTTTCCATGGACTTTCAAGAAATTTATTGTGAATATCATTCTGTCAGACCTTTGTAATTTTCAGTTTCCTGCCGTCAGAATACGAACATGATGTTTTCCTCCCAACATGCAATGTTGATTACATTATTTTCATTACAGTTTAATTTTAATATTACCTATATTTGCATTCTCTTCTCTCATAAATTGAAAACAGTATTAACCTTGAAACATTTCTGTTCAATGTCAGCAGGGAACAAGTTACTGGAAATTACTGCTTATGCACGTACTTGTATCGTAATTGCAGGTGGGGTGAAGCATACACTTGGACTAACGTAAACTGCTGCGTACATAATATAATTGTGGGGAAATTGTGGATGGAACAGTACGGGACGATGGAAGTAACGAACCATGTCACAGGTTAGTGGGATCGCAATGTTTCAGTGAACTGTATAAGATTTGAGGTTTTCACAGCGGTGAGTATGAAGATTTCTGTCTTCTGGGTTGTTGTGCCGTGTAGTCTGATGACGGAGGCACTGTGACCTCCGAAACGTAGGTAAACATCGACCAGACTACACAGCGCAACAACTCAGAAGAGAGAAATCTTCATACTCTGATGATGGAGGCAGGATGACCTCTGAAACGTTGGTAATCATCGACCAGACTACACAGCGCAACAACTCAGAAGAGAGAAATCTTCATACTCTGATGATGGAGGCAGGATGACCTCTGAAACGTTGGTAATCATCGACCAGACTACACAGCGCAACAACCCGGAAGACGGAAATCTGAATTAACTGTGTTTGGCTATTTCAAGGAAGTAAAATGTGTAGGCCTATATGTACAATTGCCAATACAAAATTACTCTGTAATGTCACGTCAGTATATGAACCCATCTGCTGGGTGAGCAAACTATTGTTGAGATTTATGTTATGGTAGTTACTGAACTACTACAAAATATAGTAAACACCTGTTTACAGAAATGTCTATTAGCGGTAATGACACAGCAATTCCTATAGAAGAAACTAGCTGGGAAACTTACTTTTGGGACGCGCCTCGTACTATCGCACAAGTGACTCGCTCCTAGCCTTCCCCTTGAAAACTCCACCAGCCAAAAAATACTGCGCCGACTATAAACCACCTTCCCTGCAGATCTATGGCATCAGTTGCCCCTTTATCTTTCATAATTTTCATATGTAAAATTGCTGAATGAATAAAATTTCCTTGTTAAATTTGTGGTTTTGTAAGTCATTTGATGTATGATGTATATTTGGTGTTATATTCTTCTAGAGGATGTCCAAAACAGATGTATACACACATTCAATGAATAAAATAAAATTATATTAATAAACTATAACATATGTCAGTATTGGCACATGGTTAATTAATGTATGTGGCGTCGGTGTTTACAATGACCACCGTTAGCTTCATGTCACAGTTGACAGTGTCAAGCAACCTACTAACAAGTGGCCACCAAAGTTGCTGCTGGGATCGCTGCATAAGACCATTCAATTTCTTGATGGATCTCATGAAGCGTTGCTGGCTTCGTGCTGTACGTTGTGTCCTCATGTAACCCCACAATGAAATGTCAGGTGTGAGGTTAAATCTGGCAATCGTGGGGAGTACTCAACATCCTTTGTGTCTTATCGATCAGTTTGAATCTTGGGAAAAGATATTGCTGTGCCATCTGTTAAGTTTAGACCACACTAGATTTCCCGGAGATCGATAACAAGGTTAATATTCCATATTATGATGTGTATAAATCTTTATGGGACATTTTGTGTATTTGCTGAACAAATATCTGTGCTTCAGAGTTTTGCAACTCACATGCTTAATTTTAACAAAACATGGTGTTCCAATAGGTCTTCGGGCAATCCTAACCTTCAAGCCAGCGGGCTGGTTTTCCAAGGACCTCCACCGAGTGGAAGGCTTCATCACAGACAAGCAGTAAGGTGTTTTCAGTTCAAGAACACTTAAGATTTTTATATACTGTGCTATTTGAAGTATTTTCCTGTGGATGGTTAATTTCTGTTTTATGATCCACTGCTCTGGGTTATCAGAAATCAACAAATCAGAATTGTGTTGTTGAGGAAATGAAGAGTAGACTAAATATGGGGAATTTTTGCTTCTACGCAGTTTAGAATCTTTTGTGTCCCTGCCTCCTATCCAAAAAACTAAAAGATTAAAACAAACAAAACTATAACTTTAATATTTGTTTTGTGTGAGTGTGAAACCTGGTCTCTCATATTAAGGGCAGAAGGCAGGCAGAACAGGGTGCGTAGGAGAATATTTGAACCCAAGGAGGATGAAGTAAGAGGAGGCTGGAGGAAACTGCATAATGAGAAGTTCAAGGGGGATTAGATGGGCATGGCATGTAGCATGCATTGGGAAAGTGAGTAATGTGTACAAAATATTCATTGGAAAGCCAAAAATGTACCATGCTATGAAGGTTTGATGCTCCAAAATAATCTTGTATGTGCTGCTTGGTCGCTGGGACCGTAGGTTCGAATCCCACTCAAGGCATGGATGTTTGTCCGAGTCTTTCTGTGTTGTGCTGTCCTGTGTGTGGGTAGAGGCCTTGCGACGGGCCGATCCCTCGTCCAAGGAGTCCTACCGAATCTCTCTAGATCAAGCCAACGAAAAAGTTGGGACCCGCAGTGCTCAGGCACTTGAAGAACGGGTCGTTCCCAGTATCCCCAGTGTGTTACCTACATCTGTATAATTAGGAAAAATTAGCTTCCATTTAGGCAGTGATTTTTTTTTTTACACTTTCTTGTTGTGAAAGTAAATAACCAAAACTTTGATGTTTTTGTTTAGAAATAAATTTTCAAGGGCCTCAGGATTATGACCTGAAAAATGTAGTAGTGGGTTTATTCTTTCTAATTTACAATGCGCTACTATTAACTTAGAGGTAAATGTCAGTTTTTTTTTATTTTTCTGTCCACAGCAAGAAGAAACTGCATTTCCTTTATGGCAAGTGGACAGAGTTCATTCGATGTACAGACATCCCTTCCTATGATGAGTATGTGCGAGAGAATGCTCACAAATTCAGGTGCAGGTCAAACCTTGTTCCATGGTTGCACAACAGAGTACCTGTTATGCTTGCATGTGTGTCATCTTGCGTAGAACAGAGATGATTATAGTCAGCACAGAGCGTGGTTCTCAAATGATGTTTACCCACGTTCATGAACGCATTGCTGCTTTTCACAACTTAATTTTGGGCATTGGGGCGGGAAGAAAGTTGCTAGTACTCAGATAAGGTGAGGGTGTCTGAAGGCCTTATTTTTTAATAAAAACGTTAATCTGAAGGTATAGAACAGTGGTCTCCAACACCACAGGCACCATGGCGCCTGCCAAGGCCTTTTTTGGGTGCCTGCGTTGTTAAGGAAAGAGGTTATACTGAATAATGAAGGCCGTTCAACCACGAACATTATAAAATCAAAGCGCAGATCTCGACTTACTGATGCCCATCTTGACGATTGTTTGTGAGCAGCAACATCATCCTACACTCCCAAAAAAGAAAATTTGGCTTTGTTAATTGGTTGGTGCCCGCCACGATCTCATAAACTCTCAAATGTGCCCATAGGCACAAAAAGGTTGGGGGCCACTGGTATAGAATTTGGCAGTTCTGAATTTCTCATGAGGAAGCCACATTTCACATTTGATTTGTACAGAAAAATATGCTGTTAAACTGTGTATCATACCATATCCATACATACAATAATAATCAGTACCTCACATGATGTTGGTCACAGTTGCACGTTAACTATAATTGCTCTTAGTGCTTGCCATTCAGCTCCTGTTGGGAGCTGGGAAGTGACAGTTGCATGTAACTGTGTCATCAAATGCACTATATACATCAATCTTCAGTATGCAATGTCCCAGTTTAATACGTAGGCTATTTTAGATTTTAAGTTTTCATAGCAGTGTAAATTTGGATTGTGATATTCTGGGTTATGACACTGTATAATCTAATATTTCAAGGGATACTATAACCTCAGTCTTCAGTGTAAAAGATGAAGCAATGGATTTGTCCAAAATATTTGTGTCCGCATAGAAGACTGCATGATGTTATAATCCGGAAGACCACAAGTTAAACGCTTAGGTTATTATTCACATTAACCAAAGAAAGAAGGAAAATGTTTTCACAGTATTTTGTTGCCTGTTCACTTAAATCCTCTTTATACCTTCCAGTTAAGCACAGAAGAGAACATTTAAATTTTACTACACTGGAAGCAGTGAAGAGTTAAATAATAAAATAAAACTTAGTAACTTCATTTGAGGACCTCTGTGCTGGCCTATTAGTAGCTTGTGAATTATTTGTATACCAGCTTTTTGAGCATGTTTCCTCACACCTTTATTCTGCATTTTATAATTAAATAATTGACCTTTCTTAGGTGTGTTCACCACTGAACGTAGCCAAAACATGCCTGTGCCTGCCTGTCTTCACGTAACAACTCAAGAACCACTGGATAGATTTTCACAAAATGTGAAAATGGGGAGTTTTACCAAAATTTGTTGATGCATTCCAATATTCATTAGAACTGTATAATAACAGACACTTACGATGGAGATTTGCATGCCCTTCTTTGAGTGGAAGTTAATGGATGCTGCGTCTCTGTAGTTAATCCCCAGTCAGCCACCCAACCACCTGAGGTAATCTTTGGAAGAATTCTTCATGGTTGGCATGGCATCATTACCCAACCAGACAGGTAGCAGATGCCCCATCCAGAAAAATTCCAAGAATTAAGTATTGTATGAAAACTAATGAACTGTGTGTTAAGTTAAAGCCTGTAACGGGCTTTAGACTGTAGAATCTGCTGATCATGCTTATGATGGTTAAACAGTGAGCCACATATCTTTTTAGTAGAATGAACCAGTGCTTGTTCAGTGTTAGTAGGCTGGACCAATATAATAATAAAATATAAAGTCGCAACAGGGTGAGAAGTTTTGCAGTCTACTGCAAATTGTCATAAAGTGTCACTGATACAGATTACTGAAACACATGTAATGGGCAAAACTTAAGCATCTTTCTCCCTAAAAGCATTTTTCTTCTCCTCCTCCTTCTCCTCCTCCTCAACTTTCTCCTCCGTCTCCTCCTCCTTCTCCTCCTCCTCTGTCTCCTCCTCCTCCTCATTCTTCTTCTTCTTCTTTCCATGGCCTCCTCAATTCTCCTCTTCCATTCGGTCCTCTGTTACGTCCGTCTGTCCGAGGCTTTGATTGAGGTTTCGAAACATCTTTTTTACTCCACTCTATCATGGTTTTTATAATTCTGTCATTCCATCCTGGTCTCGGTCTTCCTCTCTTCCTTCTCTCTTTTGGTTGCCATTTCATAATCTTCTTTGGTAACCTTTCCTCCTCCATCCTTTGCGCGTGTCCGTACCAAATCAGTTGTCTTTCCTCTATCTCCTCAATTATATCTCGATCCATCCTCATGCCCTAAAAGCATGTATGTTGAAAATTTATACATCTTTATGCTGTAGGACTTCAGCTACATTTTGGATTTGATTTGTATTGAGATGATGTATCAGTGTTCTGAGGTTTACCTCGTATGATGGTCCGTCTTAAGGAACTTTATATCTACTCTGGATAACAATGTTTCCGTTCATGTTTTTAAAAAAAAAGAGAAATATTTTAAATCTACCCAGAAACTACAGTCAGCTCTGAATGGCTTTCCCAAAAAATTAAGGTGTGAGTCCCAGTGCCTGAAACCACTTTAGGTTGATCTGTTATTGATATGCTCGCTGCCCGAACACAGGCGTTTTATAAGTGAACTCATATTTTCTCTCTCAGTGTTTACCTTCTCATTTGTCCACCTTCTGTGAGTGCAAGTGTTGTTGTGTGACCACTGGAACTCAGAAAGAGACCTGCAGAGGTGTTATATATCATATTACTGTTTAAGTGTTATAAAGATATAGGTGTAGGAACTACTATGTTATTAACGAAGTCACTGTTACATGATAACCCGTTACATATACAATTTAACTCTGCCTTTATATGTGTGAGAATTTTAAGATAAAACCTATTTGTTCTGGTGTCAAGCAGGAGTTGATACAGCATCCGGTATGACTTCAGTTCTCCAGGATTTATAAGATTAACCCTTTCCACGCTGAGTTTTATTTATGTTATTTTGCATGTACATAGAGGATCTACAATTTAAAATACAATCCATCGACAATCATGTACTGTGGTATAAAATGAAGTCAGAAGCAGGTCTACCCCCATGTAATAGACTCTCCATTCTCCCTTGCGCTACTTGAGTTAAGGTCATCACCCTGGTTGCTAGGCTACTACCCTTGTCAGTTTTACAAAAGTTGTGCAGGTATTAACATGGTGTATTTACAAGCAGTATGTTCGTTCATTCATTCTCGAACGTTACTTTGCATCAGAACATTTTACTGCTGTCCATGAACCGTATAGCAGGGAATATCCTGACAAGGAAGTATTGAACAAGGCAACAGTACACCAACTGGTAAATTTTTTTTGGCACATTGGAAGTGTTCGTGCATCAAGTGACAAAACATCTGAAATTACGACCGTGTCAATTTGAAGAATTCAGTATTGCAATTGATTTTATCATTTTGTGTACGAAATGGCTCATGTGCAGTAGTTAGGGTTACATTTTAAATGGAACATCCTATAATACGACTGTTATTAATAAGATGGCACAAGTAATTTTATATTAATTTATATTTAAATTTTATTTAATGGCTGATATATTTCTCACTCATCATATAAAACACCAAATTTATTAAGAGCAGAAGAGGCAATTCTCAGGTGAAAGGGCGGTAACTGCAAATGGCTCCAAGTCAGTGGTGAATGCTATGGTCTGGCTAGTAGCGCACTGCAAGACTACTGAAATGCGTAGAACATGAAAAAATATTTTACTGTATAACACAAGAGTGGCATGTTTTTGCTGCTACTGCTGTTGTTGTTGTAGTTGTTGTTGCTGCTGCTGTTGCTGTTAAAAATCTTAGCGCTGTAGTGATTTTTGAGGGATTTAGTAATATTACATTTCTATGTGACCTGACTTCTAGACCAGGATATGTCACTGCTTCAAGTAGGCTGAGGCAGATGATTGCTTTGATTTAACTGTTTATCTGCATGTATCTGAGTACATTCAGAATACAGGATGCTAAACATTGTTAAGTGTTGAGATTTGATGTTCTCACAGTCGTGAAGGAATCAGTTGTAGTCATCTGGGTGGAATGTTGGTAACCACCTACAAGACTCTGTGGCAACCAAGAAGACCAGTTTCAGAATTTCTATGTTTTTCTTTATGTTTAGTTAGTGGTAGAGTAAGGCAACACTATGTAGTGTAATTGTTAGGCTTTGCATGTTTGAGGTTATGTTTACAAATATTTATTTAATTAATCATATTAAATGTGATAAAATATTTATGAAACTTAATTTCATAATTGTAATTAATAATTCTGGAATTAATAAAATATGTTGTTTATATTGTCATGTCCAGGCCTGCACAAATCATGAGTGCCAGGTTGCCACGGCACCCACAGTTAGCATGATAGCACCTAGAATTTTCTGCATATTTATTGAGAAGATTTTGTATCTCCTCATATTATTATGTAACATTTTTAAATGTGTACCGCGTAGTTCCAATTCCATCGTATAGGTAGCAGCTTTGGTGCTTATGAATTAATTTACTTGAATATTATAGTCTGTTTCTGAAATACTTTTTAATCTGACTCATAAATTTATGGAGGTGGCTTCTAAATTTATAAGAAATTCGTGCAGGCCTGGTAATATTTTTAAATTATATAATTGATTAGCACTGTATTTTCTCAGACACTAGAACCCTTAGCTTTATTAATAAGTGAAAGAACTATATGAAACTACAAACTGTTTTTTGGAGAATACTTAACATATCCATTATTTAGTTTACTGCTATATCTATGTCTGAATTTAGGCGTGATGGTGATAAAGGAAAAGGAGCGACTCCTAATGACAGTCCTTCCCATACGCCAAAGAAAGTGCTAGCAAAACTCAACAGCTTCAAGGTTGGACCCTTCAAATCAAATTCTCAATCTGAGGTATGTGTACAGATTGTAAGCGTTATAAAATCTAAGGCGGTTGATACCGGAGATGTCAGATATTCAATAAATAGACTTTCATTTGGCCGTCAAAAGATTTTTTTCTCACATTTAAACAGTCGTTTTCATTTTGTAATCTGTAGGAACATTTAAATTTGAACTACTTGTTTCCCACCATACTTTATTACATATTGTGTTTTTGTTAGTATATTTGTTGTAAAATAAAACATAGATGGACTTCCGAACATAAATATAATCTTATCATATTAGAAACTTACATTTTATTTTCACATATAACACAAGATTTCAATGCAGTTTTCTTTGGTAATAATGTATGTGTGCACATACGAAAAAAGTTGGGGAAATCTGCTTGAAATTGATGATGATATTTACTGTGCAGAGGTTTGCCAGTAGAGAATTAACTGCATGTGATTTTTTTTTTTGTTTTTATTAGGGGAGTGTAGATGAGGGTTGTCCCATACCAGATGTGGCTGAAGGGGAGCTCCCCAAGTGTGATTCCACATACTCCATTGACATTCCCAATTCAGTTACCTTGTGGGAAGCTGATCCAAGACCAGACCGAAGTTCAGAGGTTAGTTTACTGTACTAAAAACAGCGTTGTCATCGTATGGACAGTGTTAATTTTTCCTGAGGTTCGTATTTACATATAATTAATTAGTATTTCCCGATTCTAAGAAAATTTATGGTTGTGTGATATTTTATTTTTATAATCAATGCAACATCCAGGAAATGTGCATTGAAAATTTTTTAAGATGTTTACTTTAAAGTCTTAAAACCCAAGGACCTACTTTTTCTCTAGCATTTAAAATTCGTATCTCCAGAAGCAACTCATCTCATAGTTAGGGCGGAATTGGTTTAATGGAATACTCAAAGGCATAAGAACAGCCTTTTCTGAATGACGCACAAATGATTTTGAGTCTTGTATAAGTGACACTTCACAATTTGATTTTCAAATATATTTTGTAATCTTACAGTTTATTTTATAACCTTTTCTAAAATGCTTGAAATTAATTTGAACCAATCCAGTTGAAGCAAAACTTCACACATTTATTTCCTCATGTGTTTCTTTCAAATTTTTGCCTCATTTGATGTTAGTTTTTTTCTTTCAGTATTACCAGTTCACATTGTTTGCCATGTCCCTTAATGAAATGGAGGAAGGCATGAAGAGCAAGCTTTGTCCTACGGATTGCAGGTGAGGTGACGTTGCTTTGGAATCCTCGCTTCAGTTTTCTTCGTAACTGAAGCACATCCATTGACTGTATTCTGCCATTACTGTCACAGGTTTCGTCCTGATATTCGAAAGCTGGAAGAGGGTGACATAGATGGAGCTGCCGCAGAGAAAACTCGTCTTGAAGAGAAGCAGAGGGATGCACGAAAGGCACGCAAAGGAAAGAAGGGCCTTGACTGGGCACCAAGGTAAGTTTCTGTGTTTGTGAGACCATGTTCATCTGGATGACATGGTCCTGTAGAGAAGGGTCGTCAGACAGAACACTAACTAATAATAAGATGAGGTGGTCTAGCGGTTAGAACGCTTGCCTTGTAATCCTGGGGTCTCGGGTTCGATTCCCGGCGGTGCCCGAATTTATAACTTGTGTTGGGATCCTGTTCATATGGACCTGTCGTCAGCCAGAACACTAAATAATAATAAGATGGGGTGGTCTAGCGGTTAGAACGCTGGCCTTGTAATCCTGGGGTCTCGGGTTCGATTCCCGGCGGGGCCCGAATTTATAACTTGTGTTGGGCAAGGCCGTGGTCTAGGCAACACGGAGTTTTCCTCTGTGGGCTTCTTCCCCGGTTTCTCCGTGGCATCCCATTCACACACAGAAGAAGGCAATGGCAAACCACTTCTGGATCATCTGCCAAGAACGTATATGAACAGGTCCCAGTCCGAGAAAAGGATGGAAGGACCCTGTTCATATGGACCTGTCGTCAGACAGAACACTAAATAAATATAATAAATGTCTAAAGTAATGACTAGACTCAGATCATTGTTTATGGCTTCAGTTATGACAGTCCAAAATTTTAGTTAGCATTTTATACATATATGTTACGTTAACTGGAAAAATAACTTTCGCAAGCTAGTGAGTATTCTCCGCTCCCCCATTTCCATATGAATGTCAGGCAGATTATTTCATATGCCCTTATTCATAATTTTAATTGCTTTTAAATTATAAAATCACACGAAAGCATTAATTTTTGTGTCATAAATATGTTTAGATATACAAATAATAATTAGATTTGTAGAATATTTATAGATTTTATTTGTACTGTGCTGAATGTGTGTGTTTCAGGTGGTTTACACCTGGCACAAATCCTCATACAAAGCAAGAAGACTGGCTGTATAGTGGTGGGTATTGGGACCGAAATTTTTCAGGCATTCTTGATATCTTTTGAGTATTTCTTCAGCGCTCATAACTTCTGGAATTTCTGTTTTAAACCAACGATGGAACAGTCTTATAGATCCATCCTGCTGGAATGTTGTTAGCAATAGTAAGTGGAAAACCTTTTGAGCTGTTGAACTTTGGTTGCTCATGTATTAATTATGTAGACAAGGAACAGTCTTTCATGGGGCAGATCACTGCAGAAGTACAGTATCATGTCCTAGAAGATCAGGATTTTTGTTAAATACTTTGGTTAAGTAATCTTGGTAAACTTATAATATGTAATAGTATCATAATTGACTTATGCTTGAAGTAGGAATTATTTCTGTTCTTTATTTTAATTTTGTTCATTATCAATAAAATTATGTACAGATGCAGTAAGCTGTGGAATGTTTTTTTTTATTACCATACTATTTATATAAAAGAAAAGCTGCCTGCTTGAATAGTAAGGTCATTGTCACTAAGGTCCAGTGACTCCTTCATAAAATTGTGCATTGATATCTCATCTTTCAGAATATTAGGCAATACAGAATTATAATTAAAATGAATTGATAATCGCTTGTTCTTAAGGAAAAACTGCAATATATCTAGCTGTCTATACATGTGATATTTAAGGTGTATAGCAACAAAAATGTGAACTTAGAAGAGGACATTTATTATCGTCGTTCTAAATAAGTACCATGCAGATGGAACAGCATTTTATCTCTTCAATGAACAGTGTGGAAAAATTACAGTACAGTTCCAACATTTTAAATTCTTGTTTCTTTATGGAAAAGTAACAGTTATAATAAAACAATCTTAAAACCTTGCATACCGTGCAGTGTTGAATATTTATCTAAAATAAAATAAAACAGTTTACAAAGATTTTTCCTGTACCTACACAATGCACACAGTCAACATTACAATGTTCATAATATTCACATAAATTTACTTTTTTTATAATTTAAAATGGAAACGAGCATGCTTGCACAATCAATTGCCCTGTGTGTCACAGTTTTTACCTGCGCATTTAAAACCACAAAACTCACATATTTTAGTATGTTCTTACGCGCAACAGAAATGCCATTTATTTTTTTGTAGCTATGTTCTGAATGGAATAAGTGATGTTCAGTATTTCCTGGTTTTTAAACCTCTTCCATGTGGTTTAAGAACTTTTATCTTCAGAATTTTCTTCTGGTATGAAAACAAATTTGAGCTATTATATCAACCGTTTAAAGCCATAGCTCATCTAAGTAATATTTGAGAATTCGGTCTATTTTGCAAATAAAATTCCACACTTCTGCATTTCAAATCGGTGGGTTAATGCTGTTTAAGGAAATGATGTTAGTTTATGCTGAGTATCATATGAAACCCATAAATAATAAAAAAAAAATACAGTGTTACTTATTGTTAAAGCAGATGGTACACAGAGTAACCACTCAGCTTGAAAAGGTTAATGTTTTATTTTGCGAAGATGTTACAGTGATTAGATGTCTATGGAAATGTAAGTAATGTCTTATTTACTGTATATAGAGCATTAAGGTTTTCATAGAATTTAATCAAAATTACAATCTGCAGGCTCAGATTTTGTTAGCATTTAAAGTAGTAACTTTGAATGTGTTAGTACAGTTATTGTATAAACTAACTGAATGGAGCAGGTTTCTTGTGAGAAGCTAATGGCCGCTCATCTAATTAAAGAAATTCCCTGCCATTTATGGAATCTTGAGGTTCGTTGTTTTTTTTTTCTCACTAGCCTACCAGTCCTAAGCCAGCTAAATCTATCTGCATCATCGTCACCATATTCGTTGATTATTAATTTTAAAATTAGCCTCCCATTTGAACCTGTATTTCCAAAATTGTAGTTTCCATTCAGTTTTTGTATCTAAAATTTCTTATACATTTTTGATAGCACCCGTGTTACGTGTTCAGATCAGCTACTTGATTTGATTACCTTGTCTTCGTTATCTATCTATGACTTTTAAGCTGAAATATACTAACAAAATAATGTTTCTTTACTTAGAAATTAACATGAAGGATTGAAGAAGTGTAAAATTAAGAAGTTTCTGCATCATTGTGACTTTATTCTTTTCAAGTTTCATTACTGTTAAAATCTGAGATCTGTGGTGGGGGGAGCACATTTTTGTAAGTACAATAAACTTCTGAAAATTTATCTCATTCCTTGACTTGGACCACAATAGTTAAAACAACGAAACAGATGCCCTAATTATATTAATCTGCAGTAGCAAATAGTTGAAGTTGTATACTGTGTTGATTGGAAATGCAGATTTTATCTGTAAAGGCCTTAATAAAACTCACATTACTCTACAAAGCGTACATCTCTTTGAAAAGTTGAGTTGAACTTTATATAATCCTAAATTAAATTGTTTTGTTTTCCTTACTCACAAACTAGGAGTCTGTCTTTTTTAAATCTACTGTTGCAAGAAAGTCAAAAGTTAGAAAATTGTTGGATTACAAACTATTTCTTATCTCCCTGTCAAATTTAAGAAATTTAAAGTAACAACAAATTATGTTTCTGTTAACTAATGATGCTGCATTGGTTTACTTTTATTACCAAATCCAGTTATAAACTTATCTTGATGTGGACGTTAAATGTTGCAATTCACCTAATCAGGTTATCATCTTTGATGATGAAAATAATCTTCAAAGAGCCCTTCATGAACTGAATAAAGTAATTGCTGAATATAATTTTGTGATTTATAAAAAAAAAAGAAAACAAAAGTTATGGCCTTTTGCGGCAAATGGCCTGTGAGGTCTAAGCTAATGATAGACAACCAGCCTTTAGAGCAAGTATATCAGTTTAACTTTCTGGGGTACCAACTTTCATACCATGGAGAAGTGGATATCAATAAAATGTTGGAAAAGTTTAATTATGTGTGCAGTACAATCAGATGCACTTTGAAGAACAAAACTAGAATGGATACTCGGATTAAATTTTACAAAGTTATAGCAGTGGCCGCTGGTGGCCTCTACGGAAGCAAAAATTGGACGTTAACAAAGAAAGAATTGGAATTGAAGCAGCTGAGAATATATTTATTATAAAATAAATGTGAAACAGGATTTATGTAGGTGACTGCATCAGACTTGTTGCTGAAAATATATGAAGTTTTATTTTAAAAATAATTATTGTAACATACTTCAGGAACCAACATTTGTAGGAATATCAGAATTCTATTTGCTATAAGACTAGGCTGGAATAAAGGTACAAATTTATGATATTTGAGATTCTCACAGCAGTGAAGATGGCAGCGCTGGTCTTCTGGGTTGTAACGCAGAAATGCTGGTTTCTAACTTCAGGTCCACATTGTGTTTTTCCCAGAAGACCACATCATCAACAACCTAAAAATTTGCTTAATGATACCATTAAACTTGTTGGACAGACAGTGTTATGGCCTCTCAGATATAAATTAAAGCCGATTGGTTTCTCTTTGAAGTTTACTTTGTATCAAAATTTTATGATGATGTAGCAATAAAACTGAAGAAGAAACTCGGTACCACAGCTTGTTATGTGAATACTGTTCTTTCAAAATTAAACAATTTTTTAGATAAAAAGTTGTCCACCAATATAAGTTAATAATAATGAATAAAATACATAACAACCAAAAAGTCTCTTAATAGTTCTGAAGAGAGATAAGTTAAGTGACAGGCAGTATGATTATACCACATCCATGTATTTTCCATTCTTCCATCTGGGCCTTCCATGATATACATAATGTGAAATCTGATAAAATGTTTTAATTACAATTTTGTTCAGAAATCTGACAAGTCTGTACCAAAAATTTGTTCTGAATCATTTGAACTGACATGTCATAAATATTAAATTTTGAGTTAGCTTCGTCAGAATTTCTGGTCCAGAGTTTTAAATATAGACGTCTATACTTTTTTTTTTCAAAATAGGCAGCAAATTTTATCCAAGTACGTACAGAATTTGATGAGAGACTCTCGGGGTACAAGTCGCGTCAGGTGGCTGAAAGGTGAATAAACGATATCTTCAGCCGCCTGATGCAGCTTGTAGCCCGAGAGTCTTTCATCAACTTCAATTGCTGCAAAAGATTCACTTTATACATTCAGAATATTTCTCAGGTATTTTTTTTTCCAGTACTCAGTTTTACACATTGTTTCAAATGTTTTAATTTTATGCATCGTGCCTATAAAAGTTCATGGCACAATTTGCATATGTTAACAATAAGATTTTCAAGATAACCTGAGATCAGTTTATTTATTACTGAAACATTATTCCATTTATTGTAGGGTTAAACGCTGTTTATTGTCACGCTGCTCTGGCACAGATACTGATGCTGTGTAGTTGTGATCGCATTTGAGTGATGTATGGATGATGTGTTGCCACTGTTCAGCATTCCTGAGACTTGGCATTCGTAAGAGAATTGTGATAGAAATGCCATTTTATATAATAGGAGGAGGGGAGCAAGACTTTGTAACTTTACATCCATTATGGTATACATACAGTATTAAGTGAAATCGTGCAGTTTTATACTCAAGTTTCATCACAGAAATGAACTATGAGTAACATTTCTTGTTAATTATTACTAGGTTAGTGTTACAGTGACATGACGTGGCCAAGATTGTAGACAGTTGTGCTATTTTAAAAATGTTGTTGATCGTATGCAATTTGATTTAGTACAGGTCCTTCCATTAGCATCCTCATTGTTATGTTCATTGAAACTGAAATTGTATAATAAAAAAAGAATAAGATTTAAAATAATTATGAAAAAACATGTATCCAGGATTACCATATTTTATTTGAGAGATGTAATACATAATGTTCAATGACTTCTCAACCACTGTCTAGTTTTTAGTCACCATATCTATGGGGGGGGGGGGGGTACTATTTTGATTAAAGAATATATTTGTTCATAAATATTTGTCTTATGTAATATGATAGCTTGTACGACTGAGAGAGACAATCGATTCAGAATTTCAGAATAAAGCGCAAGTTTTATCAGAAAAGTACAAAAGAACTCCAAAATCCCACTCGCATAAATTGCATGCCCCTCTTTCTTGTGCCCTTACATTAAAGCATCAATTCTTCACCCAGAGTTTTCTTAAAATAACTGAAATAAAGAAGTCCCTTATTTCTTATGACGGTCTTATAAATGTAGTAATGAAAGTGCCCTTTCTTGGCTCTGGCGTTTCTTAAAACATATGCACGGAAGTTGCTTGGATATTGAGATAGTCTTATGAATAAAATTCCCATTGACAAGTTTTCTGTTATTTATGCCCGTGTTGACACAGTGATTGCTTTATGAATCAGGCGCCAAACGATAAAACAGTTTCGAGCATTATGTCTGCCTTATTAACCACATCAGAAACAGAAACAGCTAATGCTCTGTGAAGGAATTGTGTGTATGAAGATGAGAGTAAGTGAAGTTTCATATCATAATTTATCACTCTTGTCTAGTTCTCTTCATTAAAATGATTTTGAAGCATTTTACAAATGCAAGCTTTGATATGCATCATTCAGGTCTCAGAACATATTTATGTTCACACAATTATTGTACATGATTTGGAAAGAATCTGGTGAGAGTGCGAGTAAAGATTCCTGAAAGGAAAGTTCACTTTTGACCACTACTACCTCATTATTTTGACAAAGTTCTTAGAACTGAACTCCACAACCAAACTATCTTGCATGGAAATGCATGAACATATTACTGGTTGTCTTAAAATTTATCACAGAGATTCTTTTAAGTACTGGTAACTTCACTGAAGTTTTGTGCATCATGTATTAGACCACATGGAATTTTGTGACTATATATGTAATGACTCATCTTGAATGCCTACCGTTCAGTTGAAGGGTCCCTTGATTGTCCCGTGCTAATTAAACAAGTCGATCCTCTTCTTGTGCTAGGATGTGGCCTCTATAATCCTGCACAAAATTAGCATCTTTAATTTGTTGTCTACCTCATTTCATGACGATACACCACCTAGCGTTTTCCATGAGCCTTAATTTTGGACAGAACATTGTCATTATTCCACCATTGTCGTAGTCATTGGTCTTATTACTGCGTTTATTTTTATGATATCATTAATGTGATTGTTTATAGTTGTAATCAGCTGATATGTATGGTATTTAGTGGACCTGCATCAACTCCAGATGCTTTTAGCATCAAATAACTTATAGTTATGGATGCTGAATAAGAGATATGTAAGATAAAGTGGTTATGACCTAGACAAGATCATAGCTCAGAAGCCACACATAAAGACTGAGTAAAACCATGAAATATCTCAAAACTGTTATACTAATTGCCAGAAGTCATACCTCTTTAATATGAATCGAAGTATCACTGTTTATTTAACCTGTGTAATAAAGTTAAAACTGAATTTTTTAGCCGCAGTATAGACTACATAGGTGTAAGTCGAACAGAACAAATCTCGAAAGTTCTGGTTATGACTTATCTTAAAGTAAGGCTTCTGCTTCCCTCCTCTGCACTCTTAAGTGCTGCAAAATCTTGCAGTTGGAATTCTGTATATTACAGGAGAAACAATATTTCAGTCTCAGCAGTGCTGACTGCTTGCTGCATCTGGGTGAAAGACGATTACTTTCTGAATTTTTTCTGTGCCAAACGAAAAGAATCTTAATTGTATTTATTATAACAGATGCCGTAGCTGCCCCAAACTTAGTTGTAAGTCCTGCACACAAACACATACTCGTACATTGCTTACTGCTGATCTACATGCATAGAAATAATGTGAATACATTTTGTAATTATTCCAGGCTTAGAAACTAGTCATGAAAGTCAGTTTTTGCTGTATTGATGTCAATTATCACTGCTAGACTGATATGACTTAGTCTTAATTAACAATCTTAGAATTTAAAAGTATTGACAGTAGGATCAATCTCATTTGCAGTCTACCGTTAGGTCATTAATGTAGTAACGATTTTGGATACAGCAATATATGTTTTACAGAATATAGTTTTTTTTTAGAGATATACGTTGTTAAAATGTAACAGTTATTCAGATTGTAGGATTTGAGGTTTTCGCAGCGGTGAGTCTGAAGACGGCAATCTTCATTTATTCAGATGTGTCAGAATGCACAAAGAACATTATAAATTGCAAGTAGGAAATAAACTAAAAGAACATTTAGTATTTATATTGAAATAAAACCTGTTGTACATGTTACTGTACAAAGAGG